TGTTAATTCAAAGGGGGCTCGGTTAGTTTCTGCTAATGCGGAAATAAATCATATCATGGCCAGGGGGGTCATGCTGGTAGTAGGAGTCAGGAGTGTTCTTGTGTTATAATTACTGAGTGTAAATTAAATGAGCCACTTATTAGTAGGGTTGATAGTAGAATAAGGCTAGGGTGACTTCATATGAGATTGTTTGAGCTACGGCTCGTAGTGCGCTGATTAATGTGTAGTTTGAGTTGGATGCTTATCCAGACCATAGGATTGAGTAAATAGCGATACTTGATGTTGCTAGTACAAATAGGAGGCCTAGATTGAAATTAGGGGGAATGGTATAGGGAGGGGGGCTCATAGAAGGAGGGCTAAGGTTGGGGCAGTTACATATAGAGTTGTGCTGAGTGTGGTAGGTAGTAAGGGTTCTTTTGTAAAAAATTTTATTGCATCAGCAATTGGTTGGAGTGTTCCGTAGGGACCTACAATGTTAGGGCCTTTGCGGAATTGCATATAGCCTAAGGTTTTTCGTTCTAAGAGTGTTAAGAATGCTATAGCAATTAGGGCAGGAATAACTAGTAGGAGTAAGTTAATTATAAACACGCTGTTAAGAAGAGGAATTGAACCTCTGATCATAAAGTTTTAAGTTTTATGCAATTACCAGGGTCTGCCATCTTAACGAGTCCTATTCTTGGGTAAGAATAGTAGTCTATAAGATTGAGATAGTAGTCATCTGGTTTGTGAGGGCACTTTGTGAAGTGGGCCCTATGAGAGAGATTGCCCAGAGCCCCAGGTCAGTGGGTCCGTGTACCGCACTCCCACATGCATCTTGGTGGTCCTCGGAGTGCAGCTGGTGGTGACCCTGCTCACTGCCACCCTTATGCACAGGCTGGCGCCACACTGCTCCTTCGCATGCTGGCTGCTCTGCAACGGCAGTCTGTTCCGATACAAGCACCCATCTGAGGAGGAGCTTTGGGCCCTGGCAGGGAAGCTGAGGCCCAGAGGCAGGAAGGAGCGATGGGCCGATGGCATTAGTGAGGAGAAGCCACTGTCTGTGCCCCGAGATGCCCTGTTCCAGCTGGAGACCTGCCCCCTCACGACCGTGGATGCCCTGGTCCTGCGCTTCTTCCTGGAGTACCAGTGGTTCGTGGACTTTGTCGTGTACTCGGGCGATGTGTACCTCTTCAGGGAGGCCTACTTCTATGTGCTGGTCCCAGCCAAGGAGACCAACATTGCTGTGTTCTGGTGCCTGCTAACAGTGGACTTCTCCATCAAGGCGTTCCTGACGGTGACACATCTGTACTTCAGCTCCAAGGAGGGGGGTGAGCGCTCTGTCTGCCTCACCTTTGCCTTCCTCTTCCTGCTGCTGGCCATGCTGGTGCAGGTAGTGTGGGAGGAGACCCTAGAGCTGGGCCTGGAGCCTGGCATGGCCAGCATGACCCAGAACTTGGAGCCACTTCTGAAGAAGCAAGGCTGGGACTGGGTGCTCCCTGTGGCTAAGCTGGCTATCCACGTGGGGCTGGTGGTGGTGGGCTCTGTGCTGGGTGCCTTCCTCACCTTCCCAGGCCTGCGGCTGGCCCAGACCCACCGGGATGCACTGACCATGTCAGAGGACCGGCTCATGCTGCAGTTCGTCCTGCACACCAGCTTCCCGTCTCCCCTGTTCATCCTGTGGCTCTGGACAAAGCCCATTGCA